ACCTCCTCCTCTGCCGCACCGTCCCCCACCCCCACCCCCCACCAGTTATATTACAGGGATGTCTACTACAAATTCTTACATGTCAGGGGAGGGCTATCAAAGTCTTCAGTCAATGATGAAAACAGAAGGACCAACTTATGGCGCTTTACCACCGGCCTATGGACCACCGACTCATCTACCATACCATCCTCATGTCTATCCTCCCAACCCTCCACCACCAGTTCCACCTCCACCCCCTACTTCATTTCCCCCGCCCAATATTCCGCCTCCTACTCCTGGATATCCTCCTCCACCTACATACAATCCTAATTTCCCACCTCCAAGACTGCCTCCAACTCATGCAGTACCACCTCATCCACCTCCGGGGCTGGGAATGCCACCAGCTAGTTACCCCCCACCTACTGTTCCCCCGGGTGGACAGCCACCCGTGCCACCTCCAATCCCACCACCTGGTATGCCACCCGTAGCAGGACTTGGACGTGCTACGTGGATGAGATAGCATGAGGCAATTTGCACGATTATTCCTTTACGTTGATTTAGGCAGGAGTAGCTAGCTAAAAAACCTACTTTGTAAAGATGAAGAGGAGGGTAATTTGTATAATTTAGATGAAGAAATGAGGCGGTGAAATGAAAATTTAGCTGATCTGTTTGCAGTATTGTTTATGGTGAGTTATATAGGCTTCTAGATTTTAATCAGCTTTGCAGTATCTTATTCTAACTTTATACATTTGACTTAAGTTTAAATTGTCTTGAGTTATTCCAGCACTGGATTACTTTGTACTAGCAAACCCAGCCATATTGGCTCAATTATATCAGTAAGAAGAAAATTTCCTTCTAGAAATCGGTGCCTATTTTTGAGTATCAAAATAACTAGATACCATGAAATTTGATCTATAGAAACTTCATTTTTAGTAATAATTAAAACAACACGATGTAGCTAGATACCATGAAATTTGATCTATAGAAACTTCATTTTTAGTAATAATTAAAACAACACGATGTGAAGCATAAAAGCTACTTTATTTAAGAGAGATTCTGAATGCTAGCTGACTGGAATCATTTTGAGGTGTTTGCCTTGCTGATATTTTTGTTTTGGAATGTACTGGTATCTTAAAGTATTGTATGTTTACACCTGTTTGCAAATTCCTGTACATAATATATATATTTTCTAAGTGTGAAAGTCTGAATGTAACAACCTACTGTGATGTACATCCTGGTTATAAATGGGACTACTTTGTTCACATCTACCCAAATAAAATTGGTTCTGAATTTAGTGGTTTTCCAGGTTTTTCGTATTAGTTCAGAATTCCTAACTATGGTGCTTATTGCAGGATACGTCAGCGGTGATCTCCCAAATCTTATTCATCAGTTTATTTAAAAAGAATGTTTGTTTTTTATTTTATTCAACTAGAAGTATACACTATCACAATCAATCTCTTACTTCATTTTTACTAAAATATTTCAAATGAATGTTTTACACACATTATCAAAAAAATCTGTACTATTACTTTCCCTCCCCAAAAAAGCCAGAGTGGTTCAATAATAGGTAAAAACGCGTGCTAAGGTCTAAAGAATTTTGCTATATACACAACAGCAGGTGCTAACTTTTCCAGTTCTTTGTAAATCATATACAGAAAATATAGCAGGGCTGTAAGATCACAGGTTTAACAGAAATCAAACTTTAAACTGATTTCTAAAGCAGCACAAATAGACTTTCCCCACATTATGAAAAATATACAATTTTATCACTTTACAGTCATGCACTTTGAAAAAGATCAGTAGTACTCTTCCCCCACAGTTTCTAAAAAGATAAAAGGTCACTTTTAACACTGATTTCTTTTAATATCTAATATTTGGATAAAAATGTGCCATTCTTTCTCAGACAAGGTTGTGCTCAGCAGTCTTAGCAAGGTGCAGAGAGCCAACTGAAGCTGGTTACACCGCAGCATTTCAGAAACCTTTTTTGGAAATGCCATTTGCTTCAGTTGCTCCGACAGAAGCCAAGGGTGTGATTTTTTTTTTTTACTTTCCTTAAGCAGAGTCAAATTGTCAGCAGCGGATGCTTTCTTTGCCAGAGGATTGTGGAACCCAGGGCTTCAGTCTTGTGGACGTTAACTTGGACTGTTGCCCCAAATACATTAATTTAATGGCGGCAATTTTAAGGGATGCTCCCCTCCCCCTGGATGTACAAAGCTCCTCGGGTTGTATTCACTGAAGACTTCGCACACAGGTAAGTGAATTTAAATATGCATATAAAACATCTTTTTAGACAACTGAAAATTCCGCACCCAAGTCATCCTGTGAAGTCATTGAGTGTCATTTTACTCCCGGAAGACGCTTTTTAGCTCAAATGGAGCCAAGTATGAAGAGCAGCAAGCCTAGCCTCTTCCCCCCCCAAAATAACACCCCGACGTACAGCACTGACACCTTCTTCTGCAAAATCTTGCACTCAAAATTTGTGCTGCCAAAGAGAATCTTAAAGAAATAGGGTTCACCCTAAGAATATTGAGACCATTCACTGGAACTACTGGCTGCCCTGTCAGCTGGCTCTTCGGGATCTGCAGCGCTAATGGACCTCAACCACACCACCAGGTGAGATCTGCAGGTGGGTCAAAACAAGCTTTGCTTGAAGTCATTGAGTGGGTGCTGAGAGAGATCTGATAGCAGGGAATATTTGAACAAGAATTGTATAGCTGGTGAGACTAGTAATCCGATTAGTCTATAGCTCTTCTCGTGTTGAGACGACCTGCTAGTCTAATATACTCCTAAAATAGCAAGCACGTCATCAACACAATTAACTCTCTACAAGTGCTGGCAACATTTGCGTTGCTTTAGTTAAAATTCACTGACGTAAATTAACCTTGTTCCCAATATGCTTAAAATCTCTGCTTAATCCAGCAATTCAATGCCACCAAAATTAAAATGGGCTTTCAAGCAGATAGATTTAAGAAACCCTCTGTTCAACATGAGATGCTAAGAATGATGCCTCTGCTTTATGTCACCTTTTGTGGTATGAAAATCTTAAGGTGTAAATTGTACAGGAGGAAGACAAGTAATCGACGGTGACTAGAAACTGGAGGTTGGAACAAAAAGCAAAGAGGAAGAAATCTGGAATCCTCTAAAGATGTGATATTTTAAAGGAGCCGGTCAGACTCTAGGATGGATTTTTCCTCATGATACACTGGGTGTGAATATTATTAGTTACCCAGCTCAGCGTTCTCTGACTGAGCAGCAGTAAGAAAAACTGCTGGCGAGTGTGTGAGTGACAGTATGGCTCTGTTTGGGCCATGGGTCTTGTTTTGGGTTTTGTTGTTGGTTTTTTTAAATGACCTACTCAGCTGTTAGATTTTTATTGCTGCAAAGAATAATGAAGAGGTGCTTGTTCTTACTGATTAGGATGTATTTTGGTCATATTCCTTCTCTGTTTTTTTTTTTAAGTGGCTACAGGTCTCGGTTCTGACGCTCCAAGTTCTTTACCCAGGCAGCTGGAGGATTGTGTACCACGGGACAAATGATCTTTCATGGCTTGCAGCATGAGCTCCTTGGTATAGTATCAGTGCTCCACGTTAATGTGATACCACAAGTCAAGAAATCAACTGGTAGGACAAATTAATTGCAGAGGAAGAACCTGCCCAGCTCATTCAGCTGCCTGTAGCTGTGACTGATTCTTACAGAGAATGAATAGAGAGTGGTGGTGTTTGAGGTCATTAAACCTTTGACCTACTCACTAAAATCGATGCAACTTTTGAAGAGGAGGCTTTGATCTTTTCACATGCCTGTCTTTAAAATTATTTTACACCAATCATTTTAATAACCAAGCCCCGCTTCCTTGGACTATTGGGAAAGAACACCTAATCAAATACAGGGACAGCTGCTGTGACAACTTGGAAAAGAAGGGGGTCAAATTCTTACAACTATACAAGCAGCTACTCCACAATAGCAAAATATAAGTCCCGTTGTTTTATATACAACCGTTCGAAGAAGGAAAAACCCACTTGTTTTGGTTCATTAACAAAAATAAAGCTTGAATGGCAGGAAGTAGCCTCACCCGACAGCCCGTGTTCATGGAGTTTTTATTCAGCTCTGCAAGGTGGTTCTTTGGTTCCCTCACACAGGAACCAGTATGGGTGAGGGATCCGGCAAGAATATTAAAAAAAAAAACAACTACCCAAATCTTCCTTATGTGAAAGATGAGCTGCTCTCGAAGATCCTGTGAAAGCCACAAGCGCTGTTAGGACGGCAGTTTCTGCTGAATCTTATTTTGTAGTAAAAGCTTTACAGGAAAAGCGTTGCCGTATTTGTGAGGAATACTGGTGCGTGGCCAAGTGACTTCAGTTCGTTCACGTTGGGACTGCAGAAATCCTGGGTCAATTTGTTCACCAGAAATGGTTCAGCAGCAGCCAACAGGGAGTCTCAAGCCCTTCTGTGTGATGAGGACCAATGGACAACGTACAGAGGGGTGGCTGCCAGTGTTTTTAGCTCACCACTCAATAGCAGACACAGCGCCTTGTGAACACAGCTGCACCTCATTCTTTCAAAACAGGGACCTCCAAAAACAAAAGCATGAGCAGCTCAGGAGCCTGGTAGGCAGGAAGCCAACGAATTCCAATTCCTCTTTCCTCAGAAGGTGCTGCCTGGTAGCCACTAACCCAGTTATGAATCATTGACAAGCGGGTGGGCCGGAGCGATACAAAGCATGACTTCTCCGCAGGTTAAGGGTTCTTCTTGTTCCTCTTAAAAATTCTCTCGAGTTAGTTAATTCTACAAACAGACCGTTAACAACAAAGCAGGTTTGAACTACAATACAAATGATGCAAGTCTGGCATTATCGGGTGGTTACCCAGTGAACAGTAGTTCCAGAGCACCACGGCCTGGAAATCAGGCCTTTAGCTGCCATATTTACACTATTGTTACAAAAAAAAAAAAAAAAAAAAAAAAAAAAAAAAAAAAAAAAAAAAAAAAAAAAAAAAAAGAAAAAAAGAAAAAAGGAAACCCTGAAAAAACTCAACCCCGACTCCCAAAGAGCAGGCAGCCAGAACCGCTGAGCTCTGCCTCTTCAGTCTTCACAGAACCGATCACTTCCAGCCCCCAGGACTGTGCTCCTACAAGGGACCCTTGAATTGGTTTCCCGAAAGATGTTGCCTGATGGAGGGTTTGGAGCTCGCAGCATCCCCCAGCTTTCGCCAGACAACCTGTAACAAAAAATAAAGGGGTGAGGGAGAGAAAGACTGGAATTAAAACACACCCCCACCCCCCAAGGCCTCCAATGAGTCGCAGTATTTTCATAATTGTAGCCTGAACGTCATAAAAAAAAAAGCAGTTTCCTAGAGCTGGGCTGTAATTCTCAGCAGAGCCACAGGATGGCATCTGTGCACCAGTTTCCAAGGCAAAAAACATTGATGCATTTATCTAATTAGTCTCCCTTGAAATTAGAACCATTTCTGCCTGGGGTAATGGTATAAAACAAATACACTAGGTTCAGAAGTTAAGTTCAATGGTAGGTCAACCCTGCCATGCTTACAGAAATGATGTTACCATGAACCGAAAAGATAATGAAAAAGATAATGATTAAAATTGTATATATATATGACTTTCTAAAAAACATATATTTTATCACTCTAGGGCCACTGGGGTAAAGGAGGCTATTTTTTGAAAAATAAGGAACTGCAGAGCACTTCCTAGCAGCCTTGAGTCTACATAAAGTGCATATTTAAAGAAAAAACAGCTGGTGATACACAAACAGTAATGAGTCCATTTGAGAGGATGAAGTTACAGCATTTTACCTTTCCCCCTGCATGGCTACAAGGGCACATGGGCATTGAGCACACAAAACATCCTAAAAGCAGGCCCTTGTTTACTCTGGTTGTGGCTTTGCTTATAGGGATCCAGCAACCAAAACCTCAACCCTTGCCAAGGATGGTTGCAACATTTAGCTATGCAAGATGCACTTGTGTTCTTCATGCCCTCTTTTTAGAGTTGAGGTGGTTTTCAGAGTTTAAACGGAGGGTTAGGCTCCTCTCTGCTGCTGTGAGCCACTAAACGATGCCGCTTGGGGCTGACCTCTAATGTGGACTTCTAAACAAGAAGGCTCCGTAAGCATCATCCTCTCTGCTGTGGGCACTGCTGGTGCTCCCAAGCAGCTCAGCCCAAACCAAGTCCCTCAGGACACAGTTGGAGTTAAATGCCAAGAGGACTCTCCAAGCCAGGGAGAGCCCTTTGCGCAGCTCTTGGTCAGCTGGACTAGCATCTCCATGCTCTTGAAGGCAGCAGAGTGGGAAGTATCTGCAGAGCAAAGGCTGCTTCGTGCAGTGAGTGAGGTACTCGGGTTCCTGACACCCAAAGGGGTGGTCAGCAGAGCCTCTACTCTTCCCTTGGGCCTGGGGGTCTGACATCAAACAGGGCTTGTACACAGCAGACCCCAGCTCCTCTGTACTTCTAACAAAAGCCCAAGAAATAAAGCCCTTAAGCTGCTGAGAGGAGTTATTACATTGCACATCTCACGAACAATCGCCTTCTCCTTTTCACTCAGGTCTTCTTCATAGTTGTCTTGCATTTGCCTGTCCAAATTTTCATGGACCTCAAGGACCTACAAAAAACAATATTACAAAAGCATTAAGCTCCTCAAATAATTAAATGTCCCTATTGACCTCGTTAACTGGTATTTAAATTGGCAGGATTCACAAAGCCTTGAGAGTTAGAGCACTGCAAAGATGAGCATGACACCAAAGTGGGCACCTCCACCCTCTCCTTTCCCTGGTGATGGCATGCATCCATCCCACCACCTGCCACCACAGTCCCTGTGGACCCTGTGATAACTGGCAGCGAGTTGCCTGTGCCCACAAACTCATCTCTTCCAGGAAGGCTGCTGGTGGCCTCACCTTCCGGACAGCTCCCTGAAGGCAATTCCCCAGCAACTCCATTCCCCTCTATCGCAGGAGGGGAACTTCTCTGCTCCTTTCTACCCTCTTTCAGTTTAAAACCATTACCCCTTGTCATATTGCTCCACTCCCCAATAAAGAGTCCCTCCCCATCTCTCCTGTAGGCCCCCTTTAGGTATTAGAAGGGGCTATAAGGTCTCCCTGGAGCCTTCTCTTCTCCAGGTTGAACAACCCCAACTCTCATAGAAGAGGTGCTCCAGCCCTCTGATCATCTATGTGGCCCTCCTCTGGACTCGCTCCAACAGGTCCATGTCCTTCTTATGTTGGGGGCCCCCCATGCATACCCCCTCCCACACATCCGCACACATTCAGATGGCTCCTCTGGATGGGCACGGTGCACAAGTTGGGCATATCCCAGTGCAGGATGGTCTCGGGATCTCCCTGCTGCATCCGTGCTGACCTACATTCTGCACCCAGGGCTTTGCCCCTGATGGGCGACGTGCTCAGCTCCGTGTGCAGGACCAAAGCTCCTGGAATCCCCCAGCACCATCAAACAGCCCATCGTCTGGTTCAGCAGGATACCTCCACCACACACACACACCAAGCCCTACGGCAGGTCCCTCTGTGCGTGCAAATATTCTCACACCTCCTGGGGAAGCACCGCGCTGGAGACGCAGGGCAAGGATGGGTTTCACCCTTTGCTGAGGCACACAGCACCAGCTGCTCCACCAAACGGGATACCGGGCTGGATTATCCCCCGGTCTGCCTCGGCGCAGCAATCCTGCTGCACTCCAACTGTGTTATGAGCAAAAATAGGTCATTCTCCTAGGGCCCTTAACCTACTTCTAAAACGCACCAGCCAGTTTAACCAACATCGCTGGGACCAAGCTTTGCACAAATAAGAATTATCCGCATCCTTGCTAAGAGGAGAGGAAGGGCAAGAGGGATGCAAAAAGCATGTACGTGCTGACAAAGACAGCATCTATTTTTTGCTAAAGAGGAGGGAATTAATTATTGATCCAGCCGGACTTGCACATGGAACTCTCTTGCCTGGAGCCAGCGTGCCTCCGAGGCAGCAGCTGGGGCAGGATGGCATCCTGGTGCGGAGCGCCAGGCTGAGCACCCGCTGGCTCCACGGGGCAAGTGTCAAGGACAACCGTGCCTTGTGAAAGATCAGTGAAAAAGATCCCAGCAGCTCCAGCCTCTCCCTCCGCCAGCCATCAATCTTATAGGCACAAAAGTCTCAGCAGACAAAAATAAATTGTTTTTTCTACGACTTGCGCTTAAACTAAAAGCGCATTCCCCAGTCCAGGAGGTGTGGAAGGGTGGTGCAGCTCACTTCGTGCAGTGGAAATGTCTTTTAATGGTGTAAAAAAGGCAGAGCTGGAGCTGAAAGCTGATCAGTTATGGTTGTATTTCATTTCTGAATGGCATAGGACTCATTTACCCCATCCTGCTCCCCAGGTTCACCCCGCATCTGGGTAGCCACTTTGTAAAGATGTGTTAGCATCCTGGGTATGGGAAAAAGGAATTTGGAAAGATAAAACACAACTACCTATCCTAGAGAGGCACGCTGGAAGAAAATACACTCTAAAGGGTGAAATCCCCTCCTGCAGGAAGACAGGAAGGCCTCTCAGTGCTGACCCAGCCCCAGCCATTCTCAGATCCTGCCAGGCGCCACCTCAGCTGTTTAGAAGGACCAGGTCAATGTTCCTCCGATTACACCACTGGGGACTATGGACGTGCCTTCACAGAAATTGTCTATGGCTCAGCTGGAGTTCAAGGACTGTGGATTCAGTCTGGATAGAAGAAACTGGGGTATATCCTCCTGTGATTCCTGCCACATCCCAACCCAGGAGCCTACAGAAAGCAGAGAAGTGTACCCCAGGCTGGAAGCAGCTCACGCTGTCCCCTCCTTTTTGCTCTTCATCGAGCTGCGCTGGGAGCACTTGGCCCTTTGTGGATGCACCAGCACTACGTGATCTCCCTGGGTAAAGTGCCAGCCAGCGAGGGCAGCTGCTCTGCTCGGGCACAGGGCAATTCCCTGTGCAGGGGAATGGGGCTGGACTACATAACGCTGCTCTTCTCCTTGGGGATGCCACCTCCTGAAGGCAACCTGCACCCTCCTCTCGATGAGCACACCAACTTGTCTGGCTTTCTCCCTGCTGATATGTAAACTGTGAGGAACACCTCGGGTATATTTAGTTCTCCTTCATGACTTCACTGACGCCTGCGACCAAGGCAGTGTCACCTCAAAGTCACCCGGTCCATCGCATCCACCTCCATGCTGACTTGCTGTACTAGCCTCGCATGACCGTGCAATGCATATTTAAAAAACAAACCAAAAAAAAACCCATCAAAGATTCGGGATGACTGCAGTGAAGTTTAGGAAGGGGAGCTGAAAGTTGGGGTGAGCAGTTCTGTACCAGGAAGCACTCTGAGACCAAGGGATGCTTTCTCAAAGGCACAAGCCTCACTGATTTTATCAATTTACAAGTCAACTGGACACAGCACTGGAACACAGCACCCTGCTTTGGCAAGGGAACAGTCTGTATACCCTGCTATGACTTTTCCCTAGTTTTGGAAAGGCCAAATCCAGCCTTGCCCGACATCAGCAGGAGTGATTGATCACCTGCTCGATGGCTCTGCACACATGGGAGAGATCCGGGCTGGTGCTGCAGGAGGAGCTGGGTTATAGGCTAAACATCAGCCTTTACATCCATCTCCTCCTCACTTCCCCACGTCTTTAGCAGGTTTGCTCAGTTCCTAAGAAAAGTGCTTTGATGTTCAGCGAGATGCTGAGCTGTAGCATATGTACCTTTTACTCTCGTTAGCAAAAACAGCTGTTAGGAGTGCCAACCTGTCATCTTGCTCCTTATTTAGTAGGCGCAAATAAACAAAAACTATTTCAGAAGCAAAAATAAAGAAAATCCCTAAATGTGCTTAAGGAAGAACTTACTTACAGCAAATGGCAAGCAATGCTTCAGCCACGTAGCTAGTGTTCAGCTGCCAGAAAAAACCAAGGGAAAAGCCTAGGGGACATTACACAGATGGGTGCAGACGGAGGCAATCCAGAAGCCCTGCAGGTCCATGCAGAGTGACCTTTGCTTGGGCACAGAGCTGCATCCTTGGAGCCACACCGCTTCTGGACAGACTTGCATTCAAGTAGCCTGGGAGACAAAGCAAGCCAACTTCCAACTGTCCTTGCCTTCCCTGGTGGTAAGGAGCTAGCCTGCTACAGCCACAACGACTTCTTTACGCAACCAAGAAGGGCTTCTTCTAATATCTGAGGTGGTATAGCCAAAGCACACAGTCTTGCCTGTAGGCTACCCTATTCTCCTCAGGGGAGGCCCATGAGCTGTGTCACAGGCGGTGAGGGTCTAAGCTGCTGGCTGCATCCCGTTTCCCACATGCAGGGGCTGGCACTGGAAAAGCTGCCCAGTCCTGCAGGGTGCAAACAAGACCTGCTCCATATGCTACAGAATACTGTGGCCAAAAAACGTCATCTTCCACCCAGTTTAAGATCCGTGGCTGGAGACCAATAGCCACAATTTCACTGTGCCACAAGAAGGGAGAAAGAGAGATTGAGACTATGACCAGTTTCCTCAGCCTTTTCAATTTCCTTGGAAATGCGCCACAGGACAGAAAAATAAACACCTTCTCATCTCTCTCTGCCACACAGACCTGTAAGAGAATTTCCTCCTTGCTTCAAATGTGAGACTATTTTTAACCCTAAGTGTGTGAGCAGGACACATCACCTGAGGCCATATACGCCCCGTGAGATGTGACTGCTCTGCCACCTCCTTCCTGACCCCAGCCATGGCACGTCCCAGGGTTTTGAAGGCAGACAAACGTACCCCACCAGCCAAATTATGAAATTGCAGAGAAGAATTTCTTCCAGCCCTTCCTAGTCATCAACAAAGCTCTGAAGTGGAGCATTAATAATAATAATAACATGTGCAAACAACCAGTCATCCAACTTCCTTTCAATTCCTTTATATGCATCATTGCGCCAGACGTTTCAAACTTAATTTCCAGTTTCCAAGAATCTTCCTCATTAATTTTCCAATCTTTCCAGAGGCTTATCAAACTGCATCTTAAAACCATTTATGTTTCTTGCCCTTGCTAAGAGATTCAGTCCTGTATTCCCTAAAGCAAATAGGAACCTAATTTCCCCCAGAATGTGTTCATAATCAATTTGTAACTATTTGATCTTGTAACTCAAAAATATTATCAATTCTGCTTAATATTGTCCCTCACCAAATGCAATGAGGAGCTGGAGCAGAAAGGTATAAACCCCACAGTTTGGGAAGAAAAAGCCAACAGCATTAGTCTGGACTGCGTGAGGGCCTGGATGATTAAATGCAGGCGAAACTGGATTAGTACAAAGTGTCAGAGAAAAATAAAGGTATCACGAGTCCACAAGGTTCTGCAAGGCATGGGTTTAGCAGATCCATATGTACACATATCCAGGAGAAATGTCACCTACAACCACAACGCAGCATAGTACAGGATGGAGCACAACTTTCTGATAGCACAGAACCATTCACAACAAGCAAAGAAGAAACTGTGGAAAACACAGGTCAAATATATGTAGGTACGTGTATACAATCTGGGTGTATAACGCCTCAAACAAGCTGAAAAATCGAGATTTTAGGCTTAATGATTTAAATTTAGATTTGATCCAAACCAAACCAAACTTGTCTTTCCTTTCATAATTCCTCACACACCATAAATGCACAGAAGACGAACCAAGTAAGAAATAGTGACACTCAATATCCTCCCGGGATCTTGCAACTGCCCAGTGCAATCCCTGCCAGCTGCGCTGCTGCTTCTCCTGACACTTGTTGCCATTACCACCACCACCTGCCACATCTGTCCTGGAGCCAAGAGACCCTGGACAGGCACAAAAAAGTAAGCTGAAAACACTAAAAACTAGAAAATTTAGGGAACCTGCGGATCAAAGCTACAAGCAACATCTGTGCCATTTGTTTAGCTAACAGATGTGGAAAAGTACAAAGCAAAGAGCTTTGTAAGCACCAGTCTCCAGGTCTAGGACAGTCTAACCAGTGCTGATGCCACTGCTGGACCTTTTTTCCAGCTATGGCCATGGGCATCTGAAGTCCTGAGTAGCCATCCAGGAATCTTCCTTTGATTTGATGAAAGCTTTTTAACCCTGTACAAAATTTTTCAGCTTTTCATGGATTTAGACAAACCTAAATCCATTAATCAGTATATTCCAACCAGAGACTAATTTAGTTAGAGACCTTCATAGGATCATAGAATACAATGGTTAGAGTTGGAAGGGACCTTAAAGACCATCTAGTTCCAGCTCCCCTGCCATGGGCAGGGACACCTCCCACCACCCCACTGGGTTTCTCAAACCCCCATCCAGTCTGGTCTTGAACACCTCCACGGATGGGGCCTCCACAACTTCTCTGGGCAACCTGTTCCAGTGCCTCACCACTCTCACAGTAAAGAATTTCTCCCTAATATCTAATTTAAATCTACCCTCTTTCAGTTTAGAACTGTTACCCCTCATCCTCTCATGACACTCCCTGCTTTCCATCGATCTCTATGGCACCTTGGAACAAATTTGTGCTTCTCTGACCCTTAGCTACTCAGAAGTAACATGCTTAGCTAGTTAAACATGTAACACCAGGGTATTACATTTTCCCGGCTAATTGGATGGTCACAAGGACTTGAGAACTGTGAAATCACTGTGCAAGTTTTCTCCTTTAACTCAGCTGGCAGTGGCCCATGGTTTTCTTTGCTGATGGTCCTGACTTTCATCCCCACTGATGATGCGCATATCCACCTGAGTATGATGCCACGGTTTGCTGGGTATTTACATAAAATAAAGTCTTTCTCCTCTGAAGACTGCTTCAGGATTTTCAATAACAAAACATACACAGGAACTGCAGTTTTTGTGTCCCTTTTAAAAACAGCATTTCAGCCACCGCTGTCACCCCAGAGACCCAGTTTATGCAGGAGTGATGAACAGAAAGGGTAACCAACACCTTCAGCATCAGCAGCTTTTGTTGGAGGTTTCCCACCCCAAAAAAAACAGTCATGCACAAACTTGCTTAACTCCTCAACTATTTGAAGCAGTGATTACTCATCACGATACAGGTGCTGGTCACCGATAATCTGCCAGAGTACTAACTTCCTATTTCTAGGTGTTGTGCTTCCACGAGAAGAACAAACGTCCCGTTCTGCCACGTTGGTGTCTGTTGCACCACATGGCACCGTACCACACCGTGCCACAGCATCCTTACCTTCATAGCATGCACAACAGCCTCTGGCTTCTGACCAACAGGAACATACCCTGCTGCAGGAGAAGATGCGAGGTCAGACGTCATGCGAGCTGGTCCCTGTTGAAATAAGAGGAGACACACTTTAATTCCCTTTGGGTGATTTAAGCAAGGAGGAAGAAAATACCCAGAAAATTTGAGCACTAGCTTCTCTCAAATGCAATCCCCTTCAGCCACCTGCACAGCCAAAAGACACCACCACCCCTTCCTCACAAGTCACTTGATTTAATGCCATTTAAGCCTACCATCGCTCAGCCTGGAGGTACTCAGGCAAGAGTTCACCCTGGTTTAAAGCTGAATTGATTCAAGAAACATTTTTTGCTCACTTAGGATAACTTTGTACAAGGACAAGATCAAACGGTTCTCATCCTTCCAGCCAAGGGAGCAATGCAAACAAGATGATTTTCCAGCATAAAGCAGTCATTTCTAAGAAGCTGCATTCATGGAAGAAACAGTTGGCATAACTTCATTGCTTTTCTGGCAACAATTTCACATAGACATCAAGTACCAATCTTCAGCTACAGAGAAAATTGTGAAGGCAACCTTAAAACAAGCAGATGTCCAAACCTAATGTTGGCTGGGTTTGTTTCCAAAATGCTGGCCAGTCCTCCTGCATGAAGGATCCCGTCGGGAAAGATGCCGAAATTACATTTTACAAAAGATTTCTACTGTCCAAACAGCCTTGTAAGCACTTTTCATAGGGCTTTCCTTTTTTAAAGGCATCAGACTTGGATTGAGAGACACAATCTCTTTATTCAGTGAGATGCACCCTGCCTGTCCCTAATATTTTTGCATCGCTTTGTAGCAGTGGGAGAAATCAACAATGAAACCATTGACCAAACTCGCATTTAGTCTTCACATCCTTTGGGAAACACAAAGAGTGATTATAGTGAGGGCCTCTGAAAGCAAATTAGGATGGCAGAGCGGCATGTAGCACCATCACAGGAATCTTTCACGTACAACACACGAGGCACTCCATTCTCATCTTTTCCGCGTTAAAAAACACAGCATGTTTTATGCTCCATCTCATCGCTTCGCCTTCTAAGCCCAGGCCACCAAGCTAGTTGTGCCAGAAAGGAGGACCAACAGAGGGGCACTTCACCACCTCTCATCCTTCCAAATGCTTTAAGTCGTGGGGGCCTTTTAACTAATAAAAATGTTCATGTGCATACGTTAAAGAAAAAGATGGGCCAATCCATTAGACTACAGGCAAAAATAGCATGAAAGTCATGGAGCCTTTCATGTCTAGGCCACTGATCTGTGCCTAACCCACGTCACGACCAACAGTCATTTACTCGTATAATAGCAGCTTCCATGAGCTGAGCTGCTGGTGACACAAAAACTTCCTTCTGAGAGGCAGGCATCTCAGAAAAAGGAAAATTGTACTTAATAACTCCACAATGATTCTCCAAGGATATTTAACCGACTGGCAAAGCACAAAGACCAAGAGACAGTCCCAGGCTGGGCATGATTCTGGACCTGCAGGCAGAGGGTTACACCCTGCTGGAGCTGGGGACATGTCCTCAGCCATCCCATCCATAACGTCACACAGAAAAGGCAGAGGCTGGGGAAGGAGCACCAGGGACTGGGTCAAGCCAATCTACAGCTGCGACTTAAGACTGAAAAACAGGTTACAAATTTCTCACAAGGCTGGTAAATGCAACGGAGTCCTTCCAGAATCAGCCTCCTGCAGAAGTCAAAAACACCAATACATGAATAATTCCTCTGGCTTGAGCATGAAAGCTGCCTTCTTTCCATAAATGACCAAGATCGTGATAACTGAAAGCAGAATATTCAGGAGTTTGTGGCCATGAACCATGTTTGATATGGATCTTCCCTCTTTAAAAGTAACACAGGAAATACCAATCAAAGGTCTAACATCCAATATTTCTTCTGATTTGAGAGTAATCTGACAATGTAAAAAGAATTCCGCCAAATCCTGCTTCTGACAACATTTCAAATACAGTTTTCTGACCAAACTGGAGTAGACCACAAGGTCTCCTGTATGACAGGCAGCAGCAGCTTCTCCTTACAGAACTGAAGCCACTAATGAGCTACAAAGCATTTCCATGATCATAATCACTCTCAAAATTATTATAGAACACAAATGAAACCAGAATGATTAGAGTAACATTTTCTAAAGAGCTTGATCTTACTTAACTGCTCACCATACTGACACGATAAAAGTAATCTTGTAAGCAGGGTGATGCAATGGATATATCACATCACACAAAAAAACCACTCAAAGGGTCACCTTCCTTCTCAGACATGTGCCTGAATTTCAGCAAGGGCAATCAACTGAGCTCCGACTGAACACAGGTAGGGAATCTGACTCAAGAAAAATGTTCAAGGGTGAGGGCTGCAAAAAGGGAGGTAGACCCATAACCTGCTATCGGAGTCTCAGTAACAGATGACTTCATTTCTAAAACAGGCATGATCCTTGATCCTTAGCTCGGAAGCCAAAACCCCCACCAACTGAAACAGATGTCCAAATTGCTGAGAGCAATCGTCAGCGGCAGCGAGTGCATCGAACGACCACACCATGGGTCTGCTCTGCCCCAAGCCACGGAGACCTCCCCACCATGGGAGACTTGCCACAAAAGGCCAAACACACATGTGAAGAAAGTGGGGGAGCAAGCAGGGATCTCACCAACATCCCCATTCTTTGCAACTGCAGGATGTAACAAGTAAAAATGCCCACACCACTAAGGGTGCCTTAATATTCATCATTAATTACACTTAGTGCTTTTTGTGCTTAGAAAAGGCTGTTTCCTGACATACAGAGAGTCAGAGTTTTATAAAGGGAGGTAGGTGCTTATTCCTCCTGATTTCAGTGTGGTTCACAGCTTCCTGCACGGAGGCACACATGAAAAGAGGCCAGAAAAGAGGGGACTGTAGTCAGCAAGGAAAGAAATGACAACACATCCAGCAGGATGCATGGCCAGCCTTTGGAGGATGGAGGAGAGGAAAATGGGCAGAGTTCACCGATAGTGTTAGCTGAAGGGGAGGAAATGGAAGGAATTGGAGATAAGGTCAAGGTTGCTGGACTGGAAAACTGCCAACAGCTGGAGAGAAGGGAGGGAATGGGAAGAAAGAGGAGGATGTGCATTTTACCCAGCAGGAAACCAGTTGAGATGAAACACAGGGGAGGGGGAACCAGAGATAGGAGATTGTAAGAAGGGCAGGATGGAGGGGGGCAATCTCAGGAAGTCAGCGTTAAGGTAGTAGCTGAAATCACACAGATGGAGGAGGTTCCTCATGCTGAAAATAGGTGCGTTTGGAAACTGTGGGTAAAGATAACCACTGCTGCACCCCAGCAATCTAACTCAGCTACTCTGAGGATCTCCATCTCTGCAGAAACCCATGCCCTTCCCGTTCCCTGTAGCTGGCATTTTCACAGCCATGGGAACACGACTGACTCAGCACCCTGACGGACAATAATAGCAAGGTTAATCTGGTTACATCTTAAGAAGCAGAAATTGTCCATATAGGCAAAAAGCAATTTGGTGTGTTTTGGGGCATGCATCACTCTCAATTTCCTCTCCTTGTCTGGTTTTGTCAAACATGCACTTTCTGTATTAGATGGACGTCTGGCTTTTCCACTTGCAAGGTTTTCATAGCATTTGGTAGCTCAGCGATGGTTCAGTCTTCATCCTTGAACGTGTGGCTGAGGTATCAAATAATTATATAAATGAACGGTGCTAAAAGACAGCTCAGAAAGTAACCAAAAAGGATGCCATTATATTTGTAATAAAGCTGTTGAGAAATATCATCTTTTTTCGTTGTTCTAGTTTACTCTTGCTGAGGCTGAACCTCAGCAGAATGAGGAAGCTGAGTCATTTCAAAACGCAAAGTTTCTTACTCTCTTTGGCCCCAACTAGCTTTGCAGCTGCTCCAGGTTTACAGCAGCAGAGACAAGACTGGAAGTTAGCTTGCTGAACTCATCACTTATACAAGGGATTAATCTGTAATTTGAAAAGAAAACAACTGTACATCTATGTTGCAGCATCAGATGGTCACCTGGGTAGAATTACATCGCACACCGCTTTCTGTTTCACCCACAGCCACAGTTACACTGCCAAAAGAAAGAGCTGCCCAGCAGTGAGATTACCAGCCTAATAAGAGTGGTGGGCTCTAAGTTATGTGTCTGATGCACTGGAGTTCCCAAGTGCTTGGAGGAAGCACCTTATCTTCCCTGGAAATGGGTTTTGTTGACCACTGCACCTCTGAGACCGACCCAGAGACCCTTCTCCAAGATATGCCTTTAAGAAGCAAAAGTCCCAGGGAAGGAAAGGCTGTGGAGCCTTGTGTGACCCATCCAATGCTTCCTCGGTACATCGGTGCTACTGCTGCTCTGCAAACCACTGTGGCAGTTCAGAGCATTCGAGATTGCTGTAGTGTGGATCTCTGATGAGTTCAGCCCTGGGAAGAACAGCCCTGTCTCTGATGCCAGGACAGCTCTGGGACTGGGGTGTCCCCAGAGGCTCCTGGTGAGGCTCTTCTGCATCCCTCATGGGAGACAAGTGCCAAGTACCCACACACTCAGCCCCTCTCCCAGTGGGGGAACCACAGCCAGAGCTATTCCTGTGTGCAGACAGCAGTACTGAAGCTCCACTGAACACAGTTTCCTTTCAGCCCTCCCCAGCTCCTCCATTCCAAGCGGATCAGCACTGGATATTTGCTGGTGTCTGTGATGGGACCAATGCACTTCTCAGAGCTTACTGTTCCCACGTAGCATCAGCCCGCTCCCCAACTTGCCAGCCTCACATCATCCATGCCCAAACCACAACTCCACTAAAGAAGCCCAATTCTGTTCAAAATCCTTCCAGAAACCTCTCACCGGACACTGCAGGGCTTGTGATTCAATCTCCACAACTGTAAAGAGATTCACAGTCCAGCTGTAACATTAACAGACTAAGAAAAGAGAGAGGAACATTGCAGTCTCTCATGCCAGAGCATCCTTGAAGCAGGATGCTACACACAGGGGATAAACCCTCCACTTCTCTATCTGCCAAGAATGATGCTTGACCTGGTGACAGCCTCAAATCCAAAGCACAAAA